TAATATTTTTGTGGGGTACAATAATTGAGGCAACCAATCAATTACATGAAAAACACAACAATATTTATTATATAATATTAACCTATTAAAAATTATTTAATAAATTTGACATTTGCTGTCAAATTTGACAGCAAAAGGCTTTGCTTTCAATTGACCCAGCGCCGCGTAAGACATTGAGGCTCGGTTGCAGAGAGTTTGCTGCCATTTTTTTTACTGTTGTATGTCTATGTAGGAGTTTTGACATTTCCTATGGAGATGTTGTAAGGGGTCAATACTTATCAAATCTACCTGAGATGCCCCAACATAGAAATCGTAATTTTGTGTAAATTCATATCATGTTAATAAGTCATATACACTTCAAATGGTCACGGAAACAAATCAATTAAGTATATTTTGAAATTAGATAGTTACCAAATAAGTTTTCAGTTTTTCAATTTTAAAAGGATTGAGAACTAAAAACTACAAATGAAATGGTTAGTAGATTATCCTGTAATTCTTTGGCATTTGCATAAGTTTCTGTTGGAAATTATATATTATAATTAATATTATAATATTTAATTTTTGTATGAATGAAAAATAAGAGTCATGTGTCATAGTTGAATTCAAATTCATGAGTTGTATATGTTCGTTGGAACTTTAGACAACAGTCATACTGTTTCAAAAAGGGTGGCTTTAGCTCTATATAAACTCAAGCATCTCACCTGCCTAATAGAATGAACAGAAGAGTTTTCTCCAATGTCTTAGTAAAAATTCGAGTCATGTCTTGAGAGTACTGAATATATGAAGTTCTCCATAGTCCGAATATTGAAGTGTTTTGACTTCGGATTATAGATTGTTGAATTATGGGAGACGGATGCCTACCGAACTACAAGCACAAGAGAAGTGGCGAAATTCTGTCTTTAGGACATTGCATTTATGCAAGTCTCAATCTCCAAGTTTGTCAGTTTTTCTAACTTATCTCTCTAGTTGTTTATATTAATCTTATATATAATTGATGTTGTGAATTTCTTTATGATTATTATCATTGGAATTATATCGTTATTTTCATATTTTCTAATATTGCTCCAACAATCTAAAGACAGAAATTTAATTATGCAATAATTGGAAAATATGGTTGTGAGAATTAAATTGAGAAAAACAGAGAAAGCGGCAAGGAAGTTGATGATTTGTTGATGAGTCTGGTATTAGATCATTTGGCAAGATGCACGTTGCTTGTTGTATATTCAGTATACAAAATAGCGAAAGATCAATTGCCATTGAGGGATTGGTTTTGGATTGAAGAAACATTGCAATTGATACAGTGATCAGTATGCAAACTGACGGTGCTGTTTGGGATAAAGTGGAGTTCCAAATTCTGGAAAAATTGCTTTGCCTTGAATACAACACATGATAAAATGTGTGTGTTTCAATTCAAAGCCTCTCAATGCAGAATGATTCACCAAAAAATTATGATGGCATATTGGAAATAATTTCTCTTGCTTTTCAGAACCACTTGTTGTAGATTGTATGTTTAACATACAAAACAACAAAAGAGTTAGGGGAATTATTGATGGTTAAGATACATTTGTGCGTTTCTTATTTTTATAAGTTGAGATCTAATATGTAGCGTGGCTGTTTGGTTTGGTAAACTGAATAAAGTTACATGCAGAGTCCTGTTAACTAATGACGGTGGAATTGTTTGAATTCATTCTGCATTAATCATCTGTTTATATTAGTATGTGGCCAAGAATTTGTCGGCATGATTTATAATATGTTATATGACTGTTCATTCATGAGTAATTAATTGAGATATTGAAGCATGAAGAAACTGTCGCTAATCGCATAATTAGGCATGATGAAAATGCCATGATATAATGTCCTTTGTATGCTTTTATGTTTAAAGAGTTGTATGTAATATGGGTGTGCCAAACGGTTACCATTGTGATGCCAATCAGTTATGTTTGGTAAGTTATGAATGTTTTGAATTTAATAACCGTTGCACTTGTTCAATTGATATTATGATTAAGATAGGGGACCTTTGGTTGCATCTTGTTAAACTAGTGCATGGTGTCTTAAGTGATTCTTGGAGTGAATCAAACTAATAATCAATATCAGTTTATGAGAAATTCATTATTAAAAGGATTGCTCTTATATCAGGAAAGTTATATCTTGATACATAGGAGGATGCAAACCGTTGCATAACTGGGATTGATCATTGGGTGTTAATCCATGAGACCACGGCTTCCAGCCTTCTATGCCTGTGGTTTTATATCCATTATATTTAAGGATTTTGAGTCATATAGAACCATGTGGCGGTTAAGTTGCAGAAAGATGCAACTATTTAACAAATGGATGGTTTTGTAATGTGGTGGAATTGAAAATTGAAATCTGCCATGTGAGATTCAAAGAAAAAGCATGCCCTTTGAAGTGCTACTTTTGACAGTGAAAGGGTATAACCTTTCCAACTAATCATTGACATATTCAAATGTATTCATGGGATGGTGTGTAAACTTCTACATACCGACTGGATGTATAATCATATAGTGATAATAATGTTGCAAAATCATTTATATGCTTTCTTCGAAGTGATATATTTATAAATTTCAAGAGGCCTAAGATGATATTGAGTGTCATTTAAAGTGATATTAATATAAAGAAATAATCATGAAAGTGTGGGGGTCTTTCAGAAAGGACAAGACCATACTGAAAATGTGAAAGACATTTCGTAGGTTTGAATTCGACATAATGATGCTTATTAAGTAAGCATTTGAATGGACATGGCCATTGGGTCATGCATGTTAGTCATAATAAGGAAAGAATGAAAGCCAATAAGTGATTTTCTCATAATTTCTACTGAGGCATGAAGGCCTAAAAAGAAGTCTATCTTAGTTGTTCCTTACTTCTCAAAGTGGAAAATGTGATCGATTTAATGATAGCATTAAAGAAACTACAATTATGAAAGAATTGTGGGGGTTGGTTAAAAGTAATTTGCTAATTTAATGACATTTAAGATGTCATCTCTTGTAATGAGTAATTGTTTAAGGTATGACAATGTTAGAGATCTTCTTACAAATACCTTAAATGTGGGGGAGTTTACCCAAGTGCTTAGTGTTAGCAAATTACTTAGTAATTAAGTCCTAATATAATTTTGAGGACTTGACATTTCAAACAATGTCAAACAACTACTTTCGTATGAAATATAATTTGATAAGATGCATTGTTCACACCATTAAAAATAGTCAACCTAGTAGTGGATCCAATTATTAAAGGTTAGACTAGTGAGTAAGTTGATCATCGAGAGGAATGAGGCTCAAGCCAACATAACTAATGAATCAGCCGAGCAGAAACCTAACTTAGTTGATTGGAGATCCCATGGTCTAAGTTCAATAGGCAAATTGGTTGGGCATGATTCAAATAAGTTAACACACTATATACCTCATTCTTATGATGGAAGAAGTGTGCTGTCTTGATACGTTTTAGGTTGTATATTTATGCTTAATGACAGTGATATCTTATAAATAAAAGGAATAGAGCAGACTATTCTTAATCAGTGGTCACCTATGTGAGAGTAGAAGTGGGTTGCTTCTATGAGAATGAGATGGCTAAATTCTTTAAAGCTCTCATGAATCTGGGATTTGTTCAGGACCAAAATGAACACAACTGTATGAACCGGAATATATAAGGATTAGTGATGTGTGTTGCTTATTGTCTCAGTTTACTGCTGCGGTGAACAGTTCAAGATTTCATGTCCACTGCGTCACCAAGTAAATTCGATAAGTATTCCTTAGGGTAGGTTCAAGTCCAAAAGAAACCTCTCCCGATGCATCTCTTGTCCGCCTGTACTCTCAAATTCTTCCTAATTTTTCATTCATGTGGGGGATTGTTGGAAATTATATATTATAATTAATATTATAATATTTAATTTTTGTATGAATGAAAAATAAGAGTCATGTGTCATAGTTGAATTCAAATTCATGAGTTGTATCTATTCATTGGAACTTTAAACAACAATCATACTGTTTCAAAAAGGGTGGCTTTAATTCTATATAAACTCAAGCATCTCACCTGTCTGATAGAATGAAGAGAAGAGTTTTCTCCAATGTCTTAGTAGAAATCAGAGTCGTGTCTTAAGAGTACAGAATATATGAAGTTCGCTAGAGTCCGAAGATTGAAGTGTTTTGACTTCAGATTATAGATTGTTGAATTCTGATAGACGGACGCATACCGAACTACAAGCACAAGAGTAGAGGCAAAATTCTGTCTTTAGGACATTGCATTTATGCAAGTCTCAATCTCCAAGTTTGTCAGTTTTTCTAACTTATCTCTCTAGTTGTTTATATTAATCTCATATATAATTGATGTTGTGAATTTCTTTATGATTATTATCATTGGAATTATACGTTATTTTTTATATTTTCTAATATTGCTCCAACATTTGGTTTCGAAAAGAGTAAACAATTTTGTGACAATCAAAAGTATTTTTAATTCAAGCGCTTATGAGTAAAAATGTTTCGTACTCAAAAAAATCCCAACAAGACGTTAACTGGTCGACTAAGACTTATAAATCGGATTATAACCAAAGCCGTCCGTAAGAGAGTGACATTAATTTCAGTCAAGTCCTAAAAATGATATTTAGCTGTCCAGTCCTAGGTTTTGCCTCCATTGTTGACACCCATATTAATCTAATTAGCTTACAGAAGAGCCGTATCAACTTACACTTCCAGGAAAAACACCAAGAAAAATCCAAACCCTAAAAATGCTATCATCGAAGAGTATAATATAACCTTCCCACGCTTGCTATGCCGTACAGAAACTTCCAAGACTAGGCCGTCCTACAACTATTGACATATAAAACATTCCAAGAATATTCAATATCCTATATGCTACTAAGTATGAGATAAAATTCGGGCAATCTCCTTTGAAATTCCCATCTTATAAAATTTGGACAATATTTCAAGTGGAATTCTCATTGATTTAGGGCTTTAGCTTTGAAGCAAGTGAATTGAATTAGCCAAGTAATCATGGAAGCTAGACGAGAAAAGGTGTATGTTGCACTTGGGAATGAGGTACAAGATGGATTTAAGACCTTGGAGTGGACATTGAGGAGGTGGAAATCTCAGTCTATCTCCATAGTCATTCTCCATGTAACCTACAGCATTTCAGGGAAGGATTATGTTTACACCCCATGTATGTTAACCACCAAATATTGGATTTCAAGTTTTCATGTTTTGAAACTGAATTTCAGATTGGTTTTACCGGTTTTTTATTCTTTTGGTTTTCGTATTTCTAATTTTTATTATTTATTTGTTGCAGTTGGGAAGCTTCCTGCAGCTTCTGTAAGTGATGAGAAATTGAAAATTCTCAGGAGGTATGAACAAGAGAAGATTGACAAAATCCTTTCCAAGTATATAGCGTTCTGTGGCAAGGTGTGTGCTAATTACTATGGATAGATGTGGATCTTGTGCATAGTGTTTCTGTTTTGTTTGTATTTTTGTTAACTTTCATATATATGTTCTTAGGTTAAAACTGAAATACTTAAAGTGGAGAAATATGATGAATCCAGTCATAAACTCATCCTAGACTTGATTTCGGGACTTCACATAACGAAATTGGTTATCGGATTTGCATTCATCAAATCATCATCTTGGTATGCAACAGCTTAATTCTCTAAATTAATTTAGTCCTAGTATGTATTAAGAAGCACCTTTGTGATTTTACTGTCAATTCATTTTGCTTATCTCGTGAGTAGGAGACCGAAGACCGCAATCAGTGTGGCATTTTACATCCACGAGCACAAGGCCGAGTCCTGTGAGCTATTCATAATTTGTGGGGGAAAAGAGGTATTTCTAAGAGGAGAAAATGATCAAAGAATTATGGAGGACGATAAAGGAGTAATGGTTGCAAAAACGAAAGACAAGGTCAGCTTCAAATTTTTGACCGAAACGATGTTCATTGAAAATCGTCACAGCTCATTTGCTTCACCAACAAAAAAGGACTCAATCAATTTGCAAAATTTGTGGGAAAATTTTGTTCAAGAAATTGAAGTCTACTACCAGCAGTTGTGTTCAGATTTGGATGCAGAAGATTATGAGCAGGGAAATGGTACAGGTACTTCTCAGCTGCCTAGTCCAACAGAGCCCATAATGATGCAAATTAATGGGAACCCTAATATGGTAAGTTAGTAGCACATAGAACAAGATTATGCCAAGAGTTTCAAATAGAGCTAAAAGAAAACGATTTGGATGCTTCTCTTAATTAATGCATGATAAAATTTGGCACACTGTCAGAGCCGTCCAGAAAAATACGAGTCTCTTCGAAGAAAAATAAGCGAAACTCGGGCGAGGATACGACTGAAGAAGAAAGAAGCCAAGGAAAATGCTAATAGGCATGCAAAAGCGGAACGGGCCATTTGTTTATGCGAGCGCCGGGTATAAAACATGATTAATTTCAAGATATTTTAATATGTTATGTTGTTTGGGGATATATACACATTTAAAGTTAGGATCCGGGGATATATGTTTTTGATACACGTTTATGTAGAGCTCACTTCGTAATATATTTCAAAGATCCAACAATCTATCTCTTATGCCTTACCTCATGTCCACTAAAAATCATCCAAATCCCAAGTGGTATGACCGTTGGACTAATTAATTTAGTATTTCTTTGTAAAACCGTATTCATTCATTTTCTTCACCATTTTCTGATTGATGTACTAATTAAATATTGCAATTCGGGTCGTTGAACTACATTACGAATTGAGCCTTACAAATTGAGTGTCAAAATATGTGTCAAATGTGTGTGTCCCCAGATAACTTGTATGTATAATCACATATCGAGGTATGATTTCATTTAATTGAGTGATTATTAAAAATATGACAACATAATATGTCACACTGTTAGAGAAGAAATAGTATTCAAACTACTCCTTTTATCTGGTTTAAAAAGAAAAGTGTTTTTGTAGGCTCAAGAGTTAGGCGTTCATATTAAAGAAGAGGGTGACAACAGAAGAGAGTTGAAAAAAGACTTAGACACAGAAAAAGAACGACTCCATGCAGAAGTTAAGGACATCAAAGAAAGCAGGAACAAGATAAGGTCACTCATAGAGCTTCAATCTGAGCTTTCACACAAGATCCACATTTGCAAAATGGCGACGTCACAAGCGGAGGTCCAGCTGGAGAATGAAGTGATGAAACGTGCAGACATGGTCAGAAATATTGAAGTACTCCGACGAGAAAGAGATGTTTTTCGACGAAGGATTGAATTTTGTAGACAAAAGGATGCCACAGAAACGGCAGAAGGGTTGAGTGAATTGAGCTGCTGTCTCAGAGAGTACACAGATGAGGAGATCAAACTGGCCACCGACAATTTTTCAGAGCGTTTTAGATTGAAATCAGGAAGTGATTTGACCAGTGTTTATAAAGGGCGTATCAATCATGTCACACTAGCTATCAAAGTTCTTAACTCAGCTAATGGACTGTCCCAAGAAGATTTTCAGGCTAAGGTAACTGCTATAATAAATTGCTAAAGAAATATTCATGGGATGTACACGTTGCAGTAATTACTAAAGTAATGTTTTCTTGTCAGACTTATGTTTTTAAATATATGTTTTTGTTGTCAAATTGTGTATGTCGACTACGCATCCAGACAAGATCCATATCAATAGTATTTACAATTCTAAACTATAAACATTTTATAATGTCAAATATCCTAGCAATTTTATGATTATCAATTTCTAATTGGTCATGACCAAGTATGCCTTAAGGTCGTTACGTATTTTATAGGTTCAAGATAAAGGGTTAATTTTCATGTGCAGGTGAAGCTCATCAGCGACATTAGACATCCTCATCTGCTTGCTATGATGGGCTACTGCTCCCAGCCAAACTGTACTGTCTTCGAATACATGCACAATGGTAGCTTGCGGGACATCTTAGTTTCCTCCCATGAAATAAAGAACCTCGCCCGGGACCTTCAGTGGCACGACCGCATCCGCATTGCGGCAGAGATTTGCTCCGCAGTATGCTACCTCCACATGGCTCGGCCGAAACCCATTGTTCATGGTCACCTCAGCCCATCCAACATACTCCTCGACCGCAATCTCGTGGTCAAGGTCAGTGGTTTAGGGCTCAACCAATCCTTGTACGACGAAGGCCACATTGTATGGGACATAAGGGCTTTTGGGATTTTGATTCTCAATCTCCTAACTGGAAGGAACTGGGTTGATGAGGATATGCTAAGGGACAAGGAAGGATTAGTTCAAGTTTTAGATGAGAAGGCTGGACAGTGGCCATTGGATTTGGCAGAGGAGCTTTTCAGTTTGGTGTTAAGGTGTTTAACCATTACCAATGGACCCAATAGGGATTTAACGATGGTGAGAATAATGGAGGAGCTTGGTGAAATCAGAAAAAGGGCCGATGGTTTAGTAGCAAGAGGAGGATTTGGCTTGAATATTAAGGGAATTGTGCATGGAGAGGTCACCAATGATGTCCCAAGTGTTTTCATATGCCCCATATTTCAGGTTAGACTTTAATATCTCACTATTTTTGGTAGACCTAAAAATTGTCGATCTTTTTTGTGTTCGTGTCCTGTTGATCATAAACTGCATTTTTAACGGGTCCTTTCGAACTATACTCTAGAGCTAAGAACATCTCTAACACGTTGGTTATTCCAGCCCGTTTGGCTACTTCAGCATAAAAGTGATAAAATATTGCTTCCAACAGCATAGCTGTATTGTAACCTAAATGAGCAAAATGAACAGTTGCTAACTAAATCTAGCTCGAATGGAGAGAGAAAATAACAAAATTTTAGCTGACACTGTTGGAGATGCTCTCGGAGTGGAAGATACTCAACCCAAAATTGAACCTCTTTTTAACCGTTCATTTTATGCGTGACCCTTCACAATAAATAACATTATTTTAAACCCTTTTAAATCAATGATTTTGACTTGTACTCATAAAAACAAGCAGTAGTTATTATATACCACACTAATGGGTCCATATTTTGAGTTAAAAGAGGATCTCCAACAGTCTAGTTATCTTAAGGTCATTTCAAATAGAGAGGGTTAAAAGTTCAAAAGTTAAAAAATTCTCTGATTTATCCAAAAATCAATCTTCAACCTATGACTAAGCTATAATTTTGTCGAGCCCACATGCCGTTATTTGGCCAAAGAGGTATTGGGTTGGCCAAATGTAGCCCCCTCTTAGCCTTTTTTGGGCCCTAGCTCCTCACTTGAAATAATCGATTCAAATTCAACGCCTAAATTTGAAAACATCTGACGGTAGTTTAGTTAAATTAACAAATAAATTTAAAGTATAAACTTAAAACTAATAAATTATTGAGAGGGTTATGTTTAGTCCATTTTTATTGAAGATGGTATATGAGTATGACCTGATACTGTTGATTTAAAAATAATATTTGTAGGCCTATAATTTTAGACGAGACTATACTTAACCCTGTCAGACCTAATTTTAGCTGAAAATCTCGAAAATCAATCCCTAACAGACTAGCTATCCCCCGCAAGTTAAATTAATTGGATGGGCTGAATTTAGTAAAATAGAGACAACTTAACGGAAAGTTAAACTAATATATTAAAACTTTTAGCATTAAAAAATGTTATTTTTATCACCTTCTCACTTTGTAACCTCTTTTTACCTTTTAAAACTATTTAAGGGGAAAGGGTTCGAAATTTTTATTCTTATTTTTTATTTTTCGTTAAAGAAGGATTTGAAACTATTAAGTAGGAAGAAGAGAATTTCAAACTCAAGACCCATATATAGAAAACCCAATGCTCTCTTCACTATGATATATTAGACGACATGCACTTTTTTTTTCTTCTTATTCGAGCAATATTCAATCTAGGCTAATCTTCCATAGAGAGAGATTCGTAGAAGCATATCGTTTTAGTAAATTTTGATATGTTCAAGTCTGCCAACCTACTTTATTTTACAAGAGTTTGCAACCTCTATATGTAGAGACCACTTTTGTTGGTGTTCACTAGAGTAAACAATGATACAAACATGTTTATTTTGGATACAGGAGGTAATGAAGGATCCACATATAGCGGCTGATGGATTTTCGTACGAGCAAGAAGCCATTGGAAAATGGTTGCGACTGGGGCACGATACATCGCCGATGACAAATTTGAAGTTTGAAAACAAGATTTTAATCCCTAATCATACCCTACGCTCTCTCACTCAAGATTGGCATTACAAAAGATCAATTCCATATCCATAATTGTGTTTTTATTTTAGAAATCCCAACGGACACGATATCTTTGTTGTCTTCATTGTGCCTATGTAGTTTGGGTCTCAGATAATGGTAGAGTTCACTTGTATAGGGGAGTTTGAGGGAGTGCTGGTAAGTGTGAATTTTGGATATCAATAAATAGTAATAAGAATCATCTAATTACGGTATGGTTTCTCATAAAAGTACTTTTGTTTAGTTACTAGACAGCTCAGTTAAATAAGTTTTTCTTAAATGTAAGACCTAAATTTACTTTGACATAGTGATGGGAACACGAATTCTCGAATACACACTATATGTAACTTAGTACTGCATACACTGTTTTGCACACCTGCTGTATATTGATTGATGAATCGATTTTATATTATATATTTTACTCTTAGCATGTTTAGGTATTTATTTTGATAAAACTTTGATACTTTGATTTATATTTCTAATATCAGATATGTGACTTTCTCTTGGGCAAAAAGTGTTAAAACGCTTATTTATCTATTTATAGAGAATTTGTGTGCTTGGGAGTCCCTGATGATTAATGATTAAATAAACCAAGATTGTAACTGGATAACCAACACTAAAAACCGTCTTTACATTGGATGGTTTGGTGGACGGGTGAGTAACGCGTAAGAACCTGCCCTTGGAGGGGAACAATGGCTGCAACGGCTGCTAATACCCCGTATGCTAAGGAGCAAAAAGAAGAATCCGCCAGCATGCGCCGCAGGGGGTGTTCGCGTCTAATTAGCTAGTTGATGAGGTAATAGCTTACCAAGGTAATGATCAGTTGCTGGTATAAGAGGATGATCAGCCACATTGGGATTGAGACACGACCCAGACTCCTACGGGAGGCAATAGTGGGGAATTTTTTCAATGGGTGAAAGCTTGACGGAGCAATGCCACGTGGAGGTAAAGGCCTACGAGTCGTGAACTTCTTTTCCCGGTGAGGAAACAATGACGGTATCTGAGGAATAAGTATCAATTAACTTTGTGCCAGCAGTCGCAGAGAAGATCGCTTAACCGTAGCAAAAGCATGAAAAATTGAGTGTTTCTTATGGTCGCAATGTCACATCGCAGCCCAGGCCCCTACGACATCCCGAGCTCGACTCCACTGTAGCACGATATTGTTCACTTTGGGCCCCTACCACGCCCTCACGGTTTTGTTGCTGGGAACTCGCACGAGAATTTCCCAGTGGGTCACCCATCTTAGGATTGCTCTCGCGCGAAGTTGCTATGAACTCCGAAGCCAGTAAGCTCCCAAAAGGCATTGTGCTAGGTAGAGATGAGAATATACATATAAGGCTTACAGGATCCTCACCCCTGGGTGATGTAGGATCTTACCCTCCTTTAGGGCCTAACATCCTTGTCGGCACACTTCCAGCTAGGGATTGGCTCTGATACCAAATTGTCACATCCCAGCCCGAGCCCCACCACATCCCGGGCTCTATTCCACAGTAGCACGATATTGTCTGCTTTGGGCCCCGACCATGCCCTCACGATTTTGTTTCTGGGAACTCACACGAGAACTTCCCAGTGGGTCACCCATCTTGGGATTGCTCTCGCGCGAACTCGCTTAACTTCAGAGTTCCGATGAACTCCAAAGCCAGTGAGCTCCCAAAAGGCCTCGTTCTAAGTAGAGATGAGAATATACATATAAGGCTTACAGGATCCTCACCCCTGTGCGATGTGGGATCTTACACGCAAGGTTCCCTAAAATTGGCTATGGCTTATTGTAGTTAATAATTGTAATTTCAATTAGAATGAACTTTGCGTCTTAAAGCTTAGTGGGTCTTTCATGTCACATTTGATTCGAACGTCTGGACAAGTTGTATGTTTGATATATGTTCTAGGTTAGAGGTCCAAGTAGATCATACTTTAGAAAAATCTAACCTTCAAAGTTGCATGTGTAATCCATAAGTAACTGGTAAAACTGCATAGGATTGTTAAGGTGAAGGTGGAACCGTAGGGCTTTTACAATTTTATTTTTTTTAAACTATTTTATAGAACATGCAACTTTCGTTGAAAATAAATGTTCACCAACGCATTAAATTTCAACATGTGAGGACTTACGTGACATGTATCATGTGTCTCACAAATTGTACACATGGCATGTGACTCATCAAAACCAGACGAGTCATCAAGAGGACATGTGTCAACACTTGGCAGAAAAGAATTATTTAATTTTAATTTAAATTAAACAAATTAATTAATTTTAATTTAAATAAAATGAAAATTGGGAAATTTGATTTATTTGATTTTTATTTGATTAAATTAACTATTGATTAATGGAGGCAAACCATGAACCAAGCAACAAATCAAGCCTTGGTTCTTCCATCAATTAATCTCACAATCAAGCCCAAGTTCACCTTAGCCAAGGCTTGGAAAGCCTATAAATACAAGGTTCCAAGACAAATGAGATAAACCAGAAAATCGTTCACACCCAGACGAAGATCTAAATTTCTCGAACTCCCAAAACGCTCAAACATAAGAAGACTCGAAAAACTCTCCGCATTCTTCGCCAAACCCGTGACAAGCACCACCACACATGCCGATTCTTCAAGTCAAACCCTTGTAGCATCTGTTCATCCAATATCAAGTCATCACGGCCCTTGGATTAACAAAACTTTACTACTAAATCTTTATGTGCTTACAATCTTCTTGCTCCCCTTTCTAGCAATTTGTTCAGATAAATATGTGATACAAAGATGACAATAACTAGCTGACACCTAATTCAAAATCAACTCACAAGTATACTAATAGGCTCAAAGACATGTTTCCAAACTTTGACACTACCTCATATTCTATTAGTAATTATGTATATTTGTAAAAAGGATATTAAACTAAAATAGGGAAGTACAAGTACATAGGGATATTTACGTAAAAATATTACAAAATTTCGTAATATAGAAATAGTAATCATACGTACACATATATACAAATACATTATATATATATATATATGTTGTAAACTTTTCTAGTTTAAGTGTGATTGTGTAAATCCTAGATTAGAGTTAATTATAGTTATCCTTTCCTATTACAACTTGTATTTCTTGGGGATGAAGGAATTTCTTCTCTCCTTTTACTACTATAAATAAAGGCACGCTGTAGGAGGGATAACACACCTATTCCCCTCCAATTTTACAAACACATCTCTCTTAATCTCCCTACCTTTGCCGCCGGCTCCCTTTAAACTTGTCAGATAAAATAGGCTACAACACGTTATCAACAGGCTTCTACTGCTGCGCTTAGGAATTTGACGAGGAAATGTTTTGCATCAAACCAATTCATCCTTATCATCACGCAATCAGGTTCTTTCAAAACAGCGGTTTTTATCTCGATATTTTTGCAGCCCTGATAGCATGAACATTCATTATAATGCATGACCCAACTTTAAGTTTTTCAAATTTTAGATTCTACGTAAATTGTGTATGCATTATATTCATAATTGTTGAATTATGTGAATTTGATATTTGCCATGAATTGCATCAAATATATGTACATGCATTAAAATTATTGAATTGCATATGCATCAAATTGAATTATATATGAATTGAATTGAAAAAAAAAGAAAAAAAAAATTCGGAAATCACAGTCTGGGTTCTTTGAACCCACGACCTCGCGCCTTGAACCAAGCTTGAAGCTTGGATAGTTGCAACAAGTCGAGTGCCAAGTCCAAAGCTAGAGCTGCGGGCTCCAAATTGAAACCTAGAAACCCCGATGCCTTCCACGATGTCTCCACCATCGCAGGTTGGCCTGCAGCCCATCCTTACATAGCGGGTCACCATGTTTGATAGCCTGAAGCTCGTCCCCGAAATCGATTGATCGAGATTCCATTAAATCTCATTGGATTTTTCTAAAAACCCGATTCGAATTTCTAGGGTTTTATAAGAATGTCAAGATTCTTTCAATCTCTGTTCATCTTTGAGGTCTCCGATGACCCATAGACTCGCCCTGAGCATCATTGTCCCTAAGCACGGCCGCCTAAAGTAGTGGTGTCTGTTTTCTCCCCCGGAAAACGCACCCAGCTACGGTTGGGGTGATTTTGGACCCAACCCGAGCCCTATTGGGCTTTGTTACTCAGCTTGCTTTCCTTTTTTTTTTTTGGGCTCACCCACATTGACCCAAAACCCTTTGGCTCGGCCTATGCAAGACACCAGCCCGAGGGCTATGGTGTCCCTAAACGCTGCGATGCACTGGATTAGGTCTTCCCTTGGGCCTGGCTTATTTTTTCTTTCAAGGTAGCCCATTTGCTACCTTGGGCTTGAACCCCCATATGAGTCACTATCTCTTGGGCCCAGCTGTCTCCTTTTTATTTTATTTTTCCTCCCAGTGGGCCTGCAACCTGTACCTTAAACACCCCAGCCCAAATTTTGGGCATGGGCTACATAGACCGAAATTGCTCAGCCCACCCATGAGCTTTGGCCTATTTTTGGGCCTAGAGCTTCGATTGTTTAATAACTTTTAAACAATTTGGGTTTTATATTTTTCACCCACACTTTAAATTTGCACCGAAGTTCAAATAATTAATTCAATTATAATTGTAGACCTGAAGTTCTATTTGCATATTTTTGTGTATATATTTGTGTTTGCCTGCAGGAACATATGAACTTGAAGTTCATAAATTATTTTGAAACCTGAAGTGTCTTAAAAAACATGCCTTGTTTGAAAACTTGAAGTTTTCACTTAAAAACATCACCCATGAAAACCCAAAATTTTTTTCATGCAAAATTAATCCAAATAAATGTCTATTAGAACCTGTATGTTCTACTCCTATGTGAATGGATTGATTTTTCTTCATTACACTAACCATATCTTGTCCATCTATTTTGTGATAAGAACATGTCGAATTTGTACAAACTCAACTTCACTGCAAAGAACTTGCGTCCCACCATTGAAAAAGAGACGGACAACCCTGTTGGCGAAGCTGAAAAAGCCAACACTACGATCTTCATCTGAAGACATATCTATGACGCCTTGCAAACTGAATAACTTGCTGAGGAGGATCCACGTGCACTATGGGTCACTTTGGCTGATTGTTTTGATCACCAAAAAGACATATTTTTGCTTGAAGCAAGACATGATTGGC